CACCAACTGTGTTGCCTCACATACGTATAGGATTCAGAGGATACATAAAAATCAAATATGATTTAATATTAACATGGTTTCCTTCTCTTCTTCTATAATCTTCTCTATTTTTTTCTCAGTTTCACAATTGTTTTCTCTGCTTTGTATTGCTTTCTCTGTTATGCTCTGTTTTGGTCCATATTCTGCAATTTTTCCTCTGTTCTATAATATTTTTTATTGTTCCGTCTCTGTTCTCACTGTTAAGTTTTCTTTTTTTGCGTAAATTATATAAACTTTTTAGTTTAAGAATTGAAAGAATTGCTAAATATGTTATTTCTATTGAGTTCTTGGTTATTTATCTATGCATATTTGATATTTTTTATTTTTGTACTAAATAGCACTTTAGTTGAAAAAAGTGTGTGCTTCGCTTCATGCTTCTCGCTTTGGTGAAGCAAGCCCTTGTCACTTTCTTTGGCTTCTCGCTCTCCAAAACACTGCTCTTCCAGCATTGTCATTTCCTAAGAAATAACTATTAGCCTGGGTGACAGCTTCTGGTGGTCCATGGCTCGGGCTGGGTCGACTTTTCAAAATTTAAAAGTATGTGGTACTATAAGCGTGATTAAACTCTTCTGTTTACTATTCAAAATGTATAGCCTGCTAACGATTAAAAAATACATTTCTCTGTTTAATATAATTTCAGATGTGGGAAAAATGTTGTATATTAATCTATCAAATATCAAATTGCACTAAATCAATACCTATGGTTAAAGAGGTTTTTCATGTGGAGTTTTGACTGTGAATACATTTTCTTTCCCTATGTATCATCTACTTTGACAATCCAGTGGCTTGTTTTCCTGAAACTCCAAAGTCACTACCTCTCTGTATCATTCTTCCATGTTAGTACCAGAGAATTCACCTAACAAATTTAACAGCTTTGTTACCCATGTTATTTCCCAATCATTAAGTAGCCTCCAGAAAGTCATATTCCAACATTGTGATGACCATATTTCTTGTTTGCCACACTTAGGGTTAACACATCCTTTTTTTTCTCCATGTATTTTTTCTTTCATAAAATGGATGAACTCTTTGAAATAGGCAATATATATTATTGGAAAGACTATACTGAAATTATGTCTATATGGTTGCATGTGGCTTGTTGATTTTTTTAAGCTCTTTGTTGCATTTCATATTTTCTTTTCTGTGAAGTGTATCTCATGTTCACATATTTCTTTCTTGGTTGTTGTAGGCTTTGATTCCAAATCTGTTGGTGGTGGTGCTTGTTATTGTTGTTGAAAGTGTCTCCAAAACTATTCTTTTGAAGGCTCTCTGTTGATTTCTTTTGTAAGGTACGTTTTTTTTCTTTTTCTAGACCTTTCTTCTTTACTGATGTGTTTTTGAAAATATTCCAAGTATTTGTCTCAATTTTTTTGGCCATTTGTTATGCTATGTTTTTTAGTCTAGTTTTATTGGCCATTTTTTAAGAGGTACTGTTGGTTGCGATCTTTTACTGTGTTTCATCAACAATGGTATGAGCAACATTTTATGCACTATCAAAACTTTGATGTGTTCAATATAGGTAATAAAAAAGTGCACTACTGTAACAAAATTTAAATGCTACAAACAAAAAAATATAAAATATTTCACCTTTTTTCTCAAGTCTTTACATACTCTTCTTCTAATATAATCAGATTAGATTGTAGGACTTCTCTAACCTTTGTTTATAGTTTTATAAATTTGTTGTGAACCTGCTTTGTATATTCAGTTCATAACCATAAACATAGAAACTATTTGGTCTTTTACTATTGATGTTTAGAATATACCTGAAAAATTATTATTTTGAAATATTTGGTCTTTTACTATTATATGTTGGATTTTCTTGAATTGCTAGTCTTTTGTCATGTAATTTGGACTATTCCAATTTTTGTAACCTTTTTATTACCATCTTGTGAATATTTATGCGTGTTTCTTGTGTAAGTATAGATTAAGTGTTTGTTTCTTGATTTTTTGTTGTAATACGTATATAACTATATGCATCTATTGTGTATGAATGTATAACTCTAAAAGTAAATATCTAATTAGTACTATTTTGTTGTTATACTAATGTACTATTATATCTATTTTACATGCATGGAGATAATGGCGCCTAATAAACAATGGATGGAACTCATTAAAGATAGACTTTCTATTGCTTATATAGATGGGGTGGAGACTTTCTTGGATTATGCTTTTACAAAACTAGGAGAACCGCAGTTGATACGTTGTCCATGTATTAAATGTGGTAATGCAACTTCTAGAACACGTGTTGTAGTTAGGTCACATTTAATAGTACATGGGATAATACCAAGTTATACTCTTTGGTATCACCATGGGGAGATGTCAGGTGAAGAACAATCAAATTTTGAAAAAATAGATGATAATGAAATTGAAGAGGATGATGGTGAGGATGAAATAGATGGTTTGCTGAGAGATTTGTACCCCGATTTTAATGGAGATAATATGAATAATAGTGGTGATGATTTGATGGAGGAGGAACCAAATGATGAAGCAAAAAGATTTTATAGGCTATTGAAAGATATTGATCTACCATTATATGAAAGTGCAAAAGTTTCTAAGCTTTCTACTTTGGTTAAATTGCTTCACCTTAAAAGTATTGGTCATTGGAGTAATGAGTAATTTACAATGTTGTTGAAGTTTTTGAAAGATGATTTATTGTTGGATGGAACAAACTTGCCGGATTCATATTATGAGGCAAAGAAGGTAATTCGAGATCTTGGGCTTTCATGTAAGAAGATTGATGCATGTAAGAATGATTGCATGTTATATTGGAAGGATGATAATTGTCTTCAATCTTGCAAAGTTTGTGGTGCATCTAGATGGAAGGATGATAAACATAGTGGGGAACAAAATTGAAAAAAGGAAAAAAGATACCATGCAAGATTTTACTTTCCTCTAAAGCCAAGGCTTCAAAGATTATTTATGTGCTCAAAGATATCTCCTTTGATGTCATCATGACAAAAGAGTTGATGATGGAATAATGAGGCATCCAGCTGATTCAATGGCATGAAAAAAATTTGATGAGCTTCACCCATCTTTTGCTGCTGAGCCTCGTAATGTACGACTTAGACTTGCTAGTGATGGTTTCCAACCATTTGGAATGTCGAAAACTCTGTACAGCATTTGGCCCGTGGTACTTATTCCTTATAATTTGCCACCTTGGCTTTGTATGAAGCAAGAGAACTTTATTTTGTCAATGCTTATACCTGGCCTGAGAGTCCTGGTGATGCAATTGATGTCTATCTGCAACCTTTGATAGAGGAGTTGAATGAATTATGGGAAAGTGGAGTCGAGACATTCGATGCATCAACTAGAAAGAATTTTACGTTACATGCATCTTTGTTGTGGACCATTAATGACTTTCCAGCATATGCAAATTTGTCTGGATGGAGTACAAAAGGAAAACTGGCTTGCCCATGTTGCAATAAAAAAAAACACACTATACAAGGCTAGTAAATGGCCAAAAACAGTGTTATATGGGCCATAGACGCTATCTTCCTCTTAATCACAAATGGAGAAATGATAAAGCGTCATTTGAAAACATTATTGAGCACAGGCTACCGCCTGAAATGTTGTGTGGTGATGATATTCTTGATCAGGTTGCTGATTTAAATGGGTTGCCATTAACAAAGGATCCACATAAGAAGATTAAAATATCACACAAGAAAAGGGGTGATAACTGGAATAACAAGAGTATATTCTTTGATCTTCCGTATTGGAAAACCTTATTGTTGCGACATAATCTTGATGTGATGCACATTGAAAAGAATATATGTGACAGTTTTTTGGGGACAATCTTAGATGTCAAAGGGAAAACAAAAGACACCTTGAGTACTCGGTTGGATTTACAACAAATGAAAATACGAAAAGAATTGCATCCAATACAAAATGGAGATATATATGAGTTGCCAGCAGCACCTTACACATTATCTGATGAAGATAAGCAAAAGTTTTTCAAATTTTTGAAGAATTTAAAGGTCCCAGATGGATTTTCCTAATAGGATTTCTCAATGTGTCAACCTTAAGGATAAAAAATTTTCAGGATTAAAAAGTCATGATTGTCATATAATTCTACAACATTTACTCCCTCTTGCCATGCGTGGATTAAAAAGTCATGATTTTCATATAATTCTACAACATTTACTCCCTC